GCCAGACTTTCTGACTTGTGAGTACTAATTGTCATTGTGACAATATCATAGAACTTGAGGTTTTGTTACCATCTTGTAAGTGATCATGTTCCTTTTCTTTGCAGGTCACCCTTGGTTTCAGGTTGATGGAGTTGCTCCTCTTGATTCTGCGGCTTTAAGTTGCCTGAAGCAGTTTTCCTTAACGAACAAGCTGAAGAAAACGACTTTTACAGTTAGTAATTTTTCTATTACATAAATGTGTCCCAAGAGAATATATGTTTTCCACTCTTTTGGGAATGATGACTAGTAGATTGTTATATATTGACTTTTATTTGCAAAGTTGAATATGTCAACATCTTAAATTCAATTTGGAATCATCAAATTATGCTCTTTTAATATTTTCCATATTGTTCTGTGAAGGTTATTGCACAGAATCTTTCTGAAGAAGAAATTTCTGGATTGAAATAAATGTTTAAGCTGATAGATACTGACAACAGTGGTCAAATAAGTTTTGAAGAACTCAAGGTTGGACTGAAAACGTTTGGTGCTAATCTCAGGGGATCTGAAATTTTCGATCTAATGCAAGCTGTAAGTATTAGTTCAGAATTTTCTTTAATTTCCTTAACGTCACAAAATAAACCTATATTTTGTACCCTTTATTTTGGTTTAGCCAAACATTTTCTCCTGTTAGAATATTAGGATTCTCATTGCTTTAGGACTTCTTATTATGTTAGTAGGAGCAATCCTATTGGACTTGATTTGTTCATGTTGTAACTTGACCAAGATTATGATAAATGTTTTTTTATGATTAATCTTGCAAGGAAAGCTCTTTGTAATCATTTCTTGAAACATGTTTATGCAATTAAAGTAGCGAAAGTATAATAATAAATAAAAATCAAAAAAGTATTATAATAAATCACTTCTACTAGCACAGTAGCACATTGTTATAATCCATTTGTCCCATTTTTGTTTCTGATTGCAGGCAGATTTTGATAACAGTGGCAAAATAGACTATGGAGAATTCATAGCTGCAACGTTGCATTTAAACATAGTTGATATGGAAGATCATTTTGTTGACGCATTCTCATATTTTGATAAAGATGATAGTGACCACATCACTCAAGGTGAGCTTCAAGCTTGTGAAGAATTTGGTATGGAGGATGTCCTCTTGGAGGAAATGATCCGAGAAGCTGATCAGAATAATGTGCGTACATTTTACAGTAACGTAATTTAACGCATGCTATGTTATCTAATGAATGAACCCATAACGCTTGAAGAATAGGATGCCCTTAACATAATTTGGTAGTATAAAAGATCCAATTTAACCTAAAAACTTAAGTTGTTAGGTGAGATTACATTAATGCTTTTATATTATATCTCTCTACCTGGTAGATTGAATATTGATAAATCCTCTACTTAAATTCACCTAAGAAGGAAGAACTGTAAAGAATCACTTCAACCCAAAACCTTAAGGTATTGGGTGAGGGCCTTTTTAATGATTTATATCATTCTCTAACACACCCCCTCACGCAAGAGCTATTTGGGCTAGAAGCGTGGATATTGCACAGGCCCAAGTTTTGGTTTACCTTTTGTGCTTTTTTATTTTAATTCCAATTTAAAGTGAGGGGCAGTGAGGATCGAACTTGTGACCTTGTAGTCACTCAAGCTCTGATACCATGATACCATGTAAAGAACCACTTCAACCCAAAACCTTAGTATTGGGTGACGGCCTTTTTAATGATTTATATCATTCTCTAACAAGAACCAACCAAAAAAAAAATTGAACGGGTTGGCATTGTTATAAGTGATCTCATGTTGGTGTTCCTGATCGAATTGAAACTTGATACCAATTGAATGAAAATTTATTTAACATTCCAAACCATTCTTTCTTTGCTATTCTGATTTTTTATTCTCATGTATTATGTTAGGTGTGACTTGCATGATTGTTAGTTATGTTAAACAAAGATTATGCTGTACTGAAATTCCAAATTTCATTCATATTTTGGCAATGCTGTTATGTTCATGTTTTACCATTTCAGGATAGCCGAATAGACTACAATGAATTGGTGGCTATGATGCAGAGAGGCAACGCAGATTTAGGTAGTAGCAGTTTAAAGGATAACACTAGTTTTAGCATTGGATTTAGGGAGGCACTCTCAGTATGTTAACAAAAAGTGGATACATTTTTCTTGCTTTTATTAACTTAGCATTTCCCCGCGGGGTGGCTATTATTCTTTAAAAATGTTGATAGGTTTGTTTCTTGGGCTTTGCCATTTTATGTAAATCATAGAGGCAAACATGATCTTGGCAATTTAGTCTTTGATTTTTTGAATTGGTGACATATTTCATTCACACCAGTATTTATTTAAGAGAATTGAATGCATCTTTTTAGAGAAGGACAATTCATCTCAACAAGTTTAACATGAACTGATGAAAGAGTGACTTGACTATCGAGTTGGTAAAAGGAGCTTTTCAAATGGGGCCTGTCATGTTCATCACTTAGGGTTCAGAGTATTATTATAATGTCTTGCTTAATGTAAAAAAATCACAATCTGGATTTTATTTCTATCTCGCCTCTAAATGGTAGGTATGAATTGTGATGTAAAACAACCTATCTATAAAGGGGGAAATTAAAATAAATTCAAATCTGAATTTTCTCCAATGCTAAAGATTTAAGGCCAAATTTTGGTTATTTGGATTTGGAAGTCTAATTTGAAGAAGGAAATGAAAAATTGCTAACTTTCCAAATCCGCCGATTGAAACATTACCTTATATGATCCAAACACAATCTTACAATTTATAGCCATTCTATCATCATCTCGAATAAATTTTGGAATAATAATTATATTCTTATTTCCTCATGAAAAAAAATCTCGTGGCTCGAGAAGGAGCGAATATGTAGTAGTCCCGGCACATGTGTGCCGGGAAGAGAGAAAGTAAGAGAGAAATAGAGGAAAGAGGAGAAAAAAGTGAGAAAAGAAGAAATAAAGAGGGACCATGAAATATTTTTTCTTCTAGAAGAAAGCACAAAAAAGACAAAAGAAACCAAATTTTGGATATTTGTATATTAATCGAATTATTCCCTGCATACATATTATGCTTTTATACAGGGAAACATCCCATACAGGGTTTTTGACTCCTCTGTCAAGCCTTTTGATAAGGACAACGGAAGAGACACTGAACTCTGGTCAATTTGCATATATATATATATATATATATATATATATATATATATATATATATATATGAGTAAATACCTTTTTTGGTCCTCAACAAATTTCACCATGCTTGCTTTAGTCCCTAGCAAATAAAAAAGGCTATTCGTGGTCCCTAAGAAATTCATAGTGGATCCAGTTTAGTCCTTTTGAGGGACTAATGTCGGTCTTTTTTGAATTTGTGAGGGGCCACGATTTTAACTAAATAGGTCCATTTTGAATTTCTTAGGGACCACAAATAGCTTTTTTATTTTCTAGGGGCTAAAGCGGGTATCCTGAAATTCGCTGAGGACCAAAAATGATATTTACTATATATATATATATATATATATATATATATATATATATAGGTATATGCTATTCTCCAATGTATAATATTTGCTATTCAAAAGGATAGAATTGGGTAGAAATTAAGTTGTAATGCTTTCCGTTAACATCACCGTTTAACAAAAATATGATTTGCCCACAGGGAAGTTGAGTGGTAAATGGTAATGCATATCCCCCATTTCATTATCCAGAGGTTGGCTTGATGTATTTGTCAATGAGTTCATGAGTTCTGCCAAATCAATGAATGGGATTTGGTTGTCTAATTAATTAATTAATTCTTCAAAATTTTACCAGGGAAATTGGGTTAAATTTTGTGAGTCTTTGTTTGGTTGAAGGTGAAATAATGATGGAAAAATTGGGTGAAATTATAAAAACACCTCTTGACTAAATAAAACAAATATTTGGGTGGCTGAATACAAGTCATTGTCGATGAACAAAGTTTATGAACTGATAATAGAGGGTCATTTTGGTCACTTGCAACACTTCCTTTTTTGATTTAGCCGGTAATCCGCAAAATACCATATTCTATGTGGTTTTATTGAACAATATTTTTTACTCACAAATGTCAAATCCCATGCAAATTTGTTTCTTAGTTAAATTTTTCAAAACTTTGTACCAAACATAGACATATTAAAATACTACATTCATTTGCATGGGTATCTTTAAATTTAACTCCTACCAAACACACCATAAAGCTTTCAACCTTTTAGGTCGTTAGTATTTTTTTTTTCCTTTTGCTCTTTTGAAAAAATATTAAATAGGTGATCCGATACAACATGACATCCAGTCGACACGAATACTAATATACTCAACACAAACACGATGTGAATTTGAAATTGGGTTAAATTTTTTAACATGAACATGATTCGCTTATGTTGCGGGTTAACAGGACACGACACGAATAGCCTGCAAATTCATAGTGTATCACTTGTTATGCGGGTTGACACGATATGATATGTCACGAATAACTTATCAACCACAAATTATGTTATTTATTATGCGAATAGACACATTACCATAAGACACTAATAACTTATTTACGACACGACATGACATAAATGACTTGTAAGAAAATTAATGTGGGTTAATTTTAAATTTACAATTTAATACGCAACACATTACGAATTTTTTCGAGTCAATTTTTATCAATCTGAACACAGTACAAATTTAAAAACGGATCGATTCAAACATAAATTTTTTTTTTATGTTGTGCTCATGTTGTATCCGTGGCTCGAGTTGAAAATTGTCACCCGATCTTGTGCCTTGCCTTTGAATATAAATACATATATTTAAATCAGAGATAACTTAATTCTTATCTTTACCATATATCTTAAAAAATAAAATTGGTGGAAATAATACTAAAAAAATAAAATAAAAATCCGCAATTGAACTTAACTCCGACCATTAATTTTTTTTTTTTTTTCTTTTGCTTTTTGTTTTTGTGCGTTGGTAATTCAAACACCTCAACACATAGGTCCACACCACACGCTCTACTTGATTTCGCTTCGTCCGACAGTACAAAACGTCCTCTGATTTCTGAACTGATGACATCTCCAATGGTGGCGGAGGGAGGCGCCGTGGCGGCGTTCCGGTCGGTGATGCAAAGAGTCCAGCAGGCGGCGGAGAGAGCCGGCTCCAGACCCGACCGGATCCGGGTCGTGGCGGTGTCCAAGACGAAACCCGTGTCTATGATTCGCCAACTCTACGACGCAGGTCATCGATGCTTCGGCGAGAACTACGTCCAAGAAATCATCGAGAAAGCTCCTCAGGTGCTGCAATTTTTTTCGCATCACAATCGAATTGTTCCATTTTTATTTTATTATTATTTTTCAGTCTTAGTTGATATGTCGTAATTTTAAAAATATAAAATTAAAAATGGTATATTATTTTCATTCTGTATGGATACAACTGTCAAATAATTTGGTTTTGGGACATGGCTGCAGCTTCCACAAGACGTTGAGTGGCATTTCATTGGGCATTTGCAAAGCAACAAAGTCAAATCACTTTTGAGTATGTTTTATTTATTTATTATTTAATTATTTTTTTGTTCTGGTTTCAAAATTTGTTTCTTTTTCATTCTATGATTAATTTAGAATGAATTATTTGAGTTTAATGTTGGTAGCATATTTAGTGCTTCTTTTGTTTCACTTATTAGAGGACTGAGTATTGAGATACTGTGATATTGTGATGCATGCACTTATTAGAGAGTGAGATACTGTGAAACCTGCATGTCAATTTCATCACGTGTTTTGGTCACTACATGTAACACTTATTTTCAACTTAGCTCTTTGTTATCTATTAATTTTATAACACCAATTGGAGTTATAACACTATTAAGTGTGGGGGCCAAATTGAAAATAAGTGATACATGTAGTGTAGGGACTAGAAATAATATAGTTTTGGTCCCTTATGTGATACTTATTCCTATGTTATGGTAACTCTACCAATCTACGACAGAGATAAAATTGAAAATGATTGTATGTTTGGGAACGAGACTGAAGTATTTTTTTCATTCAAGGACCAAATTAAAAATGAGTGTTATGTTTAATGATTAAAAACATATTTTAACATATATTGTTGAGATATATAGTCCCACATTGGTTGTATGTGCAACTAATGTGGAGTTTATAAGGTCTTGGGCACTCCCACCCTTTGAGCTAGCTTTTGGGGTGGTGTATCCCAAGGTTCTTTACATGGTATCAGAGCCTCGCCGCCCCCACTTTCTCTTGTGGCGTTTCTTAGCACAGGTAGGCTGGGCCTGTTGCATTGTCCACTCTTCAAGCTCAATGGGCTCTCGTGTGAGGGGGCGTGTTGAGATATATAGTCCCACATTGGTTGTATGTGCAACTAATGTGGAGTTTATAAGGTCTTGGGCACTTCCACCCTTTGAGCTAGCTTTTGGGATACACCTGTGCTAAGAAACGCCACAAGAGAAAGTGGGGGCGGCGAGGCTCTGATACCATGTAAAGAACCTTGGGATACACCACCCCAAAAGCTAGCTCAAAGGGAAGACCTTATAAACTCCACATTAGTTGCACATACAACCAATGTGGGACTATATATCTCAACATATATATATATATATATATATATATATATATAAAATGAAATGGGTTTTGAGTTTTGACCACTGCTTCTGTGCTTGTTATGATTGATTGCATTCTTCACATACAAGCACTTTGGGTGTTTGAATGGTGATGCCAGTTCATTTTTTCAATCTGAGATGCATGCAAAGTTTTGTGCGTCGCTTCAGTTGGCTCTGGATTTGTTGAAAATATTGTTAAACTTGTATTATCTTGTATGTTTTTTTTCAGTTTTTTCTTTCTTCTGCACCCTTAGATTAGGTGAATGTTAACCTTGCATCATTGCATGCTTTATGCAGGTGGAGTTCCAAATCTGGCCATGGTTGAGGGCGTGGACAATCAGAAGGTAAAGATTTATAATCAATATTACTTGTAGTTGTCGGAGATATATCCATTCATGTTGTTTTATTTTATGCTTTAATTTGAAGGAATCTAGATAAAATGGTCTTCATGCTTTTGATAGGTCCTAACGTCCTATACCTTGTGAATTACTAGTTATAATTTCAAATCATGATTTTCATACTGCTAATTTTCTAATTAATACCAATTGCCATTTTGATACAGCTAGTTTTCTGACTAATACCAATTGCCATTTTGAATTGTACTTCTGGACTGGCAGATGGCAAATCATCTTGACCGTGCAGTTTCAACCCTTGGAAGAAATCCTCTGAAGGTTTTGGTGCAAGTAAATACCAGTGGAGAAGAATGTAAGTTCAGCTTAAAATTATGAGTTACTCGAATACTAATTATAATTTTTGGTCTTATGAAGTTTCCTCACCCCCTTTGGGTGTGATGTTAATGCTTGGGATACTTCAAATTTAGCAACATGAAGTTATTATTCATATTTAGTTCTCTAATGTTTCAGATTTAATTTCATAAATCAGAATATAAATAATTCAAATTTTTTTCCTGTTACCCGGGATTATTGTACTGCATTTTAACTTTCATATATTCATTTCAGATAATGACAACTTAATGTTGCTCAATCAGCCACTTCTATGATAGTTCACTATTAGATTGGAGAATTGCTGTTGTTCCATCATTATTTGTTTGACGCCATATATCATACTCTTCCGTTTTGTATTGGCATTGTTTTAAGGACATTGGAGTGTATTGTTTGTAAGAATATAATGCTCTTATTTCTTACGTATTTACGTAGATAAATTTGTTTATGGATTTTTATATTGTTGCAGCCAAATCTGGTATTGATCCTTCCAATTGTGTTGAGCTTGCAAAACATGTGAAATTGAGCTGTCCAAACCTAGAGTTCTCTGGCTTAATGACAATTGGAATGCTAGACTACACATCTACTCCGCAGAACTTTCAGGTGACCAATTTTATTCTTATATTCTGAAGCATATGGAAAACTCCTTGAAATGATCTGTTTCGTATTTGACAGAACTTTTCCATTTCAGAAGTATATTTCATTTCTTGTCTTCATATTGTTTTGTTGAAATTTGATCTACATTTTTGTAATCATTTCTTTGGTTTTCTATCATAGCTTTATGGCTTTGTGCCTTGTATTCCAGATTCTAATTGTTTATTACCTAAGGTTTTCTTTTTTGTGAAAAATCAGACCCTATCAAATTGCAGAACTGAAGTTTGCAAGGCCCTTGAATTGGACGAGGAGCAATGTGAACTGTCAATGGGCATGTCCGGTGATTTTGAGTTAGCGGTATGGAATAGTGTGCTAAAGTTATTCAGCAATAATCCAATTTTCTTGATGGTTGCATTGCATGATTGCATCTGCGATTATCTCGCAATTTTGGATGCTTTTTTTTTTTTTATAGGAATGGGGTTATATGATACTTGCAGTGATAGTAATAGTTTAGAGATTGTAATAATGAGACAGGCATCTTTCTTTTAATTAATATGATTGATTGTGAAGCATTTTGGAAATACTTATTGATAGATTAGGCTCACGTGTTGTGGAGTGTGCCTCAAGGATTGGATCTTAGGTTTGGTCTCTGGAAACACTCTTTGGAGCTAAAGACGAAACCTTTGCACTCTAAGTCTAAATGGGGGATTAGTTTCCCCCTACCTCAAGTTTAATACACCCTGTGTTCCAATGAGAATCTAGCTTTAGGGCTGTATGGAGGTGATTAAGTGAGGATTCCTCGTGGGTTTCAAGAAAGAAATAGTTGCTAGAGTATGTCTTTGAATCATTTTTATATTTCTCAATAATCTGATTCTTTTACTCGAAATTAGCTAGTTTGATGTTGTATTAATTGTTCAATTGTATGCATACAACTAATTAATGAATATTTTTTCCTTTTCAGATTGAGATGGGTAGTACTAATGCGAGAATTGGGTCCACAATATTTGGGCCAAGGGAGTATGCAAAGAAACAAGAATAGTAGGAAGATAATAGTAGGAAGTTGCAATCACTCTCTCTGTTTGCCTCTAAAACAGACATGGATACATGCACACACAGATCTTCAGAATTGTATTTTATTCATTTACTGTTGTAATTGATGTAATACTGTTACCAATAATTAAGTTCATAGTTGGCCTCTATACTAAGGGCAAACCATTCTTACAGAGTCCTTGTTTACTCTAATGAGGGAGAGTAGCAAATAGAATGGTATATAGTTGCAGAATGCTATCATAATTTATGGTGCGATTTTTTGTTGTTTTCATTTTCAGTTGATATACTTTTATTAATTATTATAAACATATAATTTTGTTTTCACTGTTTTTCTTACTTTCGAGAATTTGTTAAAAAAAAAAAACAGAAGAAGAAATTGCGAAAATAAGATTTGCAAACGGATTGCGGCCTGCGGGTCCTGATTCTGGAACTTATTTTGTCGATTATACTTTTTAATTTTTATACGTAGTAAGTAATAAATATGTATAGCTTCAAATTGATTTGCGGGCCAATCTGCACTGCGATTCTTCTTCTTAATGATCCTGTCCTTAAGCAACCAATTTTTTATTCTGCTAGCTAACTGGATGGATGCTATTCATAATGCAGTGGTTATCGCAGAAAAAACCAAATAATTCTAACTTTTCATGCCTATCAAAATAATTTTTTAGTTCAATTGAAAAAAATAAAGTTTTAATATTTTTATAGTAATTGTAGATAAGTTATTTACATTTATTCTCATAACGACGTCGTTTTGAGACGAAAGATTAAAAAATTATAACAAGAAAGACTATTATAACCCTGACATAAATTATAATTATAAAAATATATTCATTTTCGTCTTAAAATAATGTTATTTTGAACTAAATATAAATAATTTATTTATATTGCAGGCAGAAAAAATGAACCCAAAAAATAATAGTAAAAATATTTACGGTGTTTTATTGTAGGGTACGCTTTTTCTACGGTCAATGTAGACAACTTATCTATATTGAGCTCAAAACGACGTCGTTTTGAGACGAAAATCAAAATATTTTTGTAATTTATTTCAAGGTTATAATAGTTTTTTTCATTATAATTTTTTAATTTTTCAATCTAAAACAATGTCATTTTAAGAGCAAATGTAAATAATTTATCTATGTTCACTGTAGAAATATTAAATCCTTTATTATAATTACATTATCGAAAATTATAAAGTCTCTAAAATAATCGTAATTGAATGATAAAATATTTAAACTACAAATTTTTCTTAATGTTTATTTTTAAATTTAATAGTGGAAGATTTTTTCATTTTTCAAATATTACCAATTCCTTGTGCTGAGTCGACTCAAAAACCTCTCTAAAAACTCAACACAACACCGGCTACTGTGTTCTTTCTGACACTGTTGTTGTTATTGTTGTTCGCTCCCTTATCTCAAAACAATGGTAACCCTTTCAATACCAATCAAAATCTGCTTCCATCCAAGCTCAACTACTTCCTTTCTTCAATCCCAAACCAAACCCCAAGCCGTTACTCTCCCAACCAGAAGAACAAGCGTACCAATATCTTGTTCCGCTTCAGAAAACCCCCAACAACAGCAAAAACAGCAGAATCAGAACAAGACCAAGAACACCGATTCTTCTTCAGATGAAGAAAAGGGTATTGACCCAGCTGGGTTTCTCGCCAAACGCGGCATTTCCCATAAAGCATTTGGCCAGTTCCTCCGTGAAAGGCATGAAAAAAGAAAAAAGGAAAAAGTTGCATGATGTTTGATAGAATTTGCGTTTTTGATTTTCTGGGTGTGTTTGGTTTTACTGTTTTGATAGAAAAGTTTGAATCTTTAATAGAAAGGGTAATTACGCATACTTCCCATGATTTTAGCCACTGTGATATTGATACTCTTTTTGTTTTGGACACCTAACTCAGTGAGAAAAATTTAGGTACAAAATGATTAAACAAGTTCAGTTCAGTTTTTGAAAACCAATTCGAGCAAATTCAGGTTCCAATTGTGTCATTAGGTTGTACATATATTTATTGGAAAAGAATCACCTTATAAAGGTGTAAATGTTACAACTTACAAGTGAGATTAGCGACTAATAATAGGTATAAGACTTTGTATGCTTACATTGGTGTGAATTGATTCTCCTTATATTTATTTTTTCAATACATCATTCATAAAAAAGTAAAATAAAATTGAAAAAATAAAAAAAATAAAAAATTAGGGGTTCAGCCACATTCTATTCAATGTCATCCGGTTTAAGCTGGTATCCAAACCAACCCAGAATTTTTAGCTTAGTATCAAGCCGGGTCAGGTACCACAGATTTGCGGGTCGTCCATCCGGACTTGTCATCACCCCTATCTGGACATAAGGTGAGAGAGTTATCTATAATTTTCTTAAATAAAGAAGGGCATTGGGGTGTAAGAACAGTATCTAAAGCATGGAGAAGTAAGTGCAATTTCCCAATAAAAAAAGGTGTTTATGTAATGAATGCTAACTATAGGGGAGTTTGGTGTAATTATCCCTAAATAAAAGGGGAAAACTTGTTTGTTTTCATTTTTCATTGTGCAAGTGAATGACATAGCTATGTTAGGCACTTTTTGTTCCTAGATAGATGGGTTGGAAATTTGATGCAGGGAATAATACGATGTTCGTCATCATTGGTTTTGCAGGTATAAAGCATTGAAGGATCTGAAAGATGAAATTTTAACCCGGCACATGAACTTAAAGGAGGTGTCTTCTGGGTTAGTTCCATTATGTGGCATTGAGTTTTAAGCTTGAACTTCAGTACATTACTGTGCATTTTGGTTCTCTCAGCTATAAGCTGCATTCCTTGTAATGGGCCTCTTTGAATATTTTAACTCATTATCAATTCAATAAACCACAATTGGAAAAAAACACCTATATGTTTTTTAAATTGATTTCATTAAATTATGATATTTAAAATTGTTGGTCCAGTTTACAATATTTATTTTACAAAGCTGTGCATGTATTACTACAGATGACGTACCTTTGAGTTTCATTTGATTCTTCTTATTTATGTCTGTCTAGGTATGAGCTAATGGGTGTGCATCGGCATCCAGAACATCGGGTGGATTATATGGAATGGGCTCCAGGTTTGACATTATCCCCAAGGATTTGTTTTAGGGTCTGTGTGATTCACAAATCCCAAATATTGAATGTTTGGTCCAATTTATTTTGTCTATTTCCAGCAAGAATTATACCTTAACTCTTATTAGATTTCATCAACCTGAGTATTATACACGTGGATGTTCTTCAATTTGAATTTTTCTCTGCTCTATGAGAAATGTAGTTAGGTGTTTTATGTCTGAGCTATAACTGCTTATATCTGTCCCCTGATATTAATCTAAAACCTATATCAACTTCTTGCTTCTAGGGACCAACATGTTGGTCCTTGCAAAGAAATGTGATACAACAATATTGTTATTTTGTCAAGTTTCCACCAAAAGGAATCTGTTTGAATTTGTTTCTTGTCCCTACTTTCTTGTTTTATTAACAAGCACATAATTGCAGGGGCTCGCTATTGTGCAATTATTGGTGACTTCAATGGATGGTCACCTACAGAAAATTGTGCAGGAGAGCGTTACTTTGGTTATGATGATTATGGATATTGGTTTATCATTCTTCAGGATAAGCTTAGAGAGGGAGAAGAGCCAGATAAACTATATTTTCAACAGTATAACTATGTAGATGATTATGATAAAGGTGATAGTGGTGTCACCATGGAAGAGCTCATTAAGAAATCAAATGATGAGTACTGGCAACCGGGAGAAGACCGTTACCTAAAAAATCGTTTAGAGGGGCCAGTAAAGTTATACGAGCAGATATTTGGTCCTAATGGACCGCAAACTCTGGAAGAGTTGGAGGACATACCAGATGCTGAAACGAGATATAAGGCATGGGCAGCAGAGCATGGACATTCCCGTCATGCTGTGATTGATAGGGGCAAGGAGTATGACATATATAGTGTGATAGTTGATCCCGAATGGCGAGAAAAAATTCGTGCACTGAAACCTCCTGTAGCATACTGGTTTGAGACTCGTAAAGGTAGGAAGGCATGGTTGAAAAAGTATATTCCTGGCATTCCTCATGGAAGCAAGTACAGGGTCTACTTTAACACTCCAAGTGGACCATTGGAGCGGGTACCTGCTTGGGCTACATATGTTCAGCCAGGTAAATCTTATATGGATTCTTGGAAGGTATTTAATCATCCGTGAATATAAACTTTTTTATAATTATATTTGGTCGTGTTGTATCTTGTGGTTATTTCTTTTGTAAAGCTGTAACTATGCATTTGTACTAAGGTGTTTTGTGTTCTTTTGCATGGTCTCATGCATATATGTTAATCTTGTCTTTTCATTTCAATTGTAAAGGTGATTTCTTGAGGTACTCTTCCTTGTAATAAGGATGCTTTAAACATTAGCTAAAATGCGTCTTGGACTTGGAATATATGTTCAGTGCTTGCATGATGTTGAAGAAAGCAACTTTTGGTTTCCATTACTAAATGGTACTTAGTCTACCGGTCAATGGAAACTTCATTGATCATCCCTGGAAAGGCTATCAATATGATATGAATTTTTTGATCATTTAAAATGACAAACATTTTTCCCTTTATTTATACCCTTGAAAGAAATTCATATATAATCACCATTTCCATAATATTAGCTTTTGTTCATTTGCCTGTGTAATCTAATATTAGTTAAAAAGTAAGAATCTATGTTTTAATTAAAAAAGGTTCACTTTTGTAAAAAGATTTTGATGCACCTGGGTGACTGATCTGGATTGGGCTTTTCTATAATTTATTCCATAGTTTAGGGTTTTTCAATAATTGTTAATTATTTTCTTTTTTGTTATTTTTAGATTATGTTTGAGTGTGCGTTGATTGTCCGTTATCTCCTTTGATTGCGCATGATTATAGTTATTTACTTTTTTGTTATTTTATTTTTCCTATTTAAGGCTTGGAGAACCCTTTTATTATTTGGTTGTTTTTGGTTAAATAAAATTAAGAAAAGAGAAAAGTGTTTTCTCGCAATTCTTGTTTCGTTCTTTCTTTCTGTTTAGCCAATTGGTTACTGCTTCGGCATTATTTGGTAATCAGAGCTTTGATTGTCACATAAATGGCTGAACAGAACAATGGCGGTTGAGGTCGTGGACGACGGGGTCGAGGCGACGACGGCGGTAGAGAGCGTGGTAACACCCTTAACGGCGACGACGAACAACCACACATCAACGTGCGAGACGCCACAATTGTAGCAATGGCTGCTGCAATGGCAAAACAAGGTAGACGAATTCAAGAGCTCGAACAACGGTTTGCCCAAACATAGTTGGACGAGTTAGATGAAGGAAGAGAATCTGAAAAATCATCTCATGAGAAGGAAAAGAGCGAAAACCCATTCTGGGACTGGAACCAGGAGCGACGAGGACGAAGTCAACCTGGAAATCAATCCTATTTTGCTAATATTGGGGTGAAGATTGAGATCCCGGAATTCGAGGGCACCACTCATTCAGATGAGTTCATCGACTGGTTACACACCGTCGAAAGAGTCTTTGATATCAGAGACTTCACAGAAGACCAGAAGGTCAAACTGGTCGCTATCAAACTGAGGAATCATGTCTCAATTTGGTGGGAACATATTAAGAAGTAGCGAAACAAAGAAGGGAAGTCAAAGATCAGGAGTTGGGATAAGATGAAGAAACTATTATAACTAAAATTCTTACCCATTCGCATCTGCAGGAGGCATTTATTGAGTACCATAATCTCAAGCAGTGAGACCTATCAGCTGAACAGTATACTGCTGAGTTTGATCGTCTACAGATGCGCTGTGATATCGCAGAGGAAGACAAACAACCGATTGCTCGTTACCTAGGAGGACCGAGGACTAAGATCTCAGATGTTGTATACCTGTAATAATATTGGTCATATGACGACGAATGTCGACTAGCTTTGAAGGTAGAGGAGAAATGTAAGAGAAGAGGAGGTACTTCAAAATTCTAACCCAGATTTTCTGACAGAGAACAGTTTTCAAGCTCGACAGCCAACACTAGTACGGGGATTAAACCTTCTAACTCGAAACTAGTGAGCAAGGGGGGAGTGACTGATGGTGAAGCAAGCAAGATAGGGGCTACGACAAAGAGGTGTTTCAAGTGTTAGGGTTTAGGACACTTCGCTGCTGATTGTCCAAACCGGCAGTATGTTACTTTTGTAGATACTCAAGTCGATGATATAGGCCCCACCTATGATGAGTATGAAGAACATGAGGTGGATGGAGGGTCTGAAGAAGGTGAGATTATTTGTGGTGATTCAGGCGAAGCCTTGGTTGTCCGAGGGGTGTTGAATGTTTACATCATTGATGATGAGTTGTGGCTTTGACACAATATATTCCGCACCAAGTGCACCAACAGAGGTAAGGTATGTAATATGATCATTGATGGAGGGAGCTGCGAGAATGTAGTCTCTAATACCATGGTCGAGAAGCTAGGATTGAAAATATAGGAACACCCACAACCATACAAGCTTGCTTGGCTAAAGAAAGGAAGTGAGGTGAAGGTGAACAAGAGGTGTTTCGTGCAGTTTTCTATCTGCAAAAGGTACACTGATGAGGTGTGGTGCGATGTGATTCCGATGGATGTGTGTCATATCTTGTTGGGGAGGCCGTGACAATTTGATAAGAAGACGAAGCATGATGGCTTCAAAAATACTTACACTTTCAAGAAGGACGAACTAACTATTACCTTGGGTCCATCTGAATTGAAGGGGGAGGCGAAGAACACTACGTTGTCCAGAGTAGGTTCCCAAGAGGAATCTACTAATGCTATTGAGATATTTGCTTGTGCGGTGATAGAACAAAATTCTGGTGTTTCTGACAATCCTTTTCAGGTTAAGCCATTGCTAGAGGACTTCGTTGATGTGGTTCCTGAGGAGCTGCCATTGGAATTTCCACCTATGATAGACATCCAGTACTGTATTGACCTTGTGTCAGGAGCTGTTATTCCCTACAAAGCTACATATAGGATGAGCATTGAGGAGCAAAAGGAGTTACATTCACGGGTCCATGATCATATTCAGAAGCAGAATGTGAAATATAAACAACAACCTAATAGGCATAGAAATCAAGCCTGTTGTTGTAAATAGTGTCATAGAAGTCCCACATTGTGTATATGTCTTTGTATCTCTTATTTGGTTTAATATATAAATGAAATCTCCTTCGTGTAGTTGACACAAGGATTACAATCAATACCTCTTGTATCTTGATAATTAACATGGTATCTAGAGCCTAACAAGAGGAATCCTAATCCGCGTCTTTCCGGTGGACCACTGTTCGTTGAGTAAATTTTTTATTTTTTATTTTTCAGGAAACAGTCATATCTGTCAGTTTCCGGCTTCCATATATCGTCTAAGGACCTATCTGATCACTGTCGCTGTCAGGAACCTCCGTTGATTGCCGTCCGCCGCCGTTGACTATCGTTGACCGCCGTCTCCAACGACTTTTCAGGCGTACCACCCACCTTTCTGCTCGCCATGACGAGGCGGTCTTCTCTGTCCAGGAACCACCTCCAGATTCTCAGCCACGCGCCCTCACGCGCGTGAGACAGCAGCTGCAGCCTGTTTTCTTGCAGCGGCGCATGCAGCTCCGGCTTGTTGTCGGACCACCACAGTTCACCTCGTCTTCTCCTTGCGCACTTGGATCTCTCCTCACTTTGTGGTTTGGACTTCGTTACGACTTCCCACAACGTCTTTTCTCTTGTTGGTTACTATTCACGCATGGTTCTTTGCTTTCCATTACTGTTCATCTTTGTTTCAGGTGACCTATGGCTGATTCGTCACCTCACGATGCATCCAAGGGTTCTCAAAAGAATGACACGGTTGTTTTTATTAGTTATGTTAATGTTCCGCTGCACGTCGACAAGTTGGATGGCTCCAATTATGATTCTTGGGCTTCTGATCTCCGACTTTGACTTGATGGACAGGATTATGCTGACCATCTCATTACTAAGGCTGAGTCCATCTCAGTAGATGAACGCCCTCGATGGAAAAAGGTTGATGCTCAATTATGTAGCATCATCAAGTCTACCATCCACCCGTCATTGAAGCAGATCTTCTGTGCTCACGTCACTTGTGAGTCTGTTTGGCGTCAGGCCAAGTCACTTTATACCAATGACACTCAGCGACTTTACGGTGTTTGTCAAAATTTGATAACTGTTATTGCTGCTCAACACTTTGATGTCTCTATGTCTGCTTATTCGGGAAAAGTTCAGGGTCTCCTTCATGATTTCAATGAACTTTTGTCGCCTGCTGCAGACCCTGCTAAGGAACTTGAGCAACGCAACATATTCTTCATGCTCATGGCTCTTTATGGCTTGCCCCCGGAGCACTCTGTCAACCGGGATCAGATCTTGGGCTCTACTACTGTTCCATCCCTGGACTCTGTTTGGTCTACGTTGCTTCGAATTCCACCTAAGTCTGCTATGGAGCCTGCAGTATCTGCTCCCTCTTCAATTGACCCTTCTGCACTTGTTTCCAAGGGTTATGCACATGGACGCAAACCCTCTAAGGGACACTTTCTTCGCACTCATTGCAACAAGCCGGGCCATACTATTGATCGTTGCTGGGATCTTCACGGTCGCCCTCCTCGCTCCGCTAATTTTGCTTAGAGTGTTTCTCCTGCCTCGGACTCTGCTTCGTTTGCTGCACCACAACCACCTCCGTCTATTCTCACTGACTTCTTGCACTGGTATGAAGAGAAGTGTTCTCCTGGTACCACTGCCTCTGGTGCACACACGGGTAATTCCTTTGCTGGTTTTTCTCACTCGCCCTCTTTTGGTCCATGGATTCTTGATTCTGGTGCATCTGACCATATTTCTGGTAATAAGTCTTTATTTATCTCTCTCTGTACGTCTGGTCTCCTGCCTAGTATCACTATGGCGAATGGGTCACTGGTTCAGTCCCAAGGGATTGACACTGTTCTCTTTTTTCCTTCTATTCCCATTAACAATGTGCTTTATGTTCCTAATTCTCCTTTCAACCTTATTTCCATTACTTGCTTGACTCAATCCCTTGACTGTATTATTTCCTTCACTAAAGAGTCTATCATTTTGCAGGATCGGAGCTCGAGGAGGACACTTGGCGTCGGATCTGAGTCCAAAGGCCTTTATCAGCTTTCGACTTCTATCCC